ACCACGAATATTTCAACGGATGGTGTTATTTTTGCCTCTATGGATCTCAAAACGAAAAAGTAAATCGGTCCCGGGTCTAGGTCTTACCACGAGACCTACACTAATTGTGTATTCCCTATATAGGAAATTAGCTGAAACTACCTAGGTACTTTTAGCAGATGAACTGGCATACTGACAGGCAGCAGTGTCTAAGGAATATATCGGCCTTAGTCACCAACAAGACTACAAGATCGCACCACTCATCCTACACTCATCTTCATTCATACTTGGCTTAAAACACCTACCTTTGTATAGTCGCCATTTCAAAGAAAAAGTATTAAAAGTAAAAAAAAAATATATTGCACAATACTTCCTCATACATGATTCAATATTTTTGAAGATTGTGCAATAATTTTCAAAACTTTTCCCATACACGGTCAATATTATTGCACAACATTATTGAATGTGCATGGACTATATTGAAGGCGAAAATCAGATTGTGCAATATATTGAGTGAATAGAAAGAGTTTAGAAAATTATTGCGCAATCTTAAAAATATTGAATTATTCCACATATACTACTCCTTCATCCTGTTCTTCGGCTTCGTCAACAATGCAACTAACACATGCTGCAGCATTTAAATCACATATGATAAAAAAAAACTGAAACATATGACTGCCATGAAACTAATCCAATATTGACGACTTTAACTCCACCGTGGGTTGCACAAACTTATTGAACTGTGTATAAACTCTTTAATAAAATTGCGAAATAAATGTACTATTAATATTGACCGTGTATGAGGTCCTAAGGAATTGGAATGCGTTCGAAAATAATATTCATTGTTTGTAGAATTGGTACACCAACGTCTACGTTTAAACTTGGAAGTTCAATTCGATTCAAATATGTTCAAATATCTTCAAGAAGAACTGTTAAGGTTTAAATTATCTTTTCAAGAATTTTCGATTTCTATGATAAATTGCAAATCACTTAACCAATGACTAAAAATATTACCGGATTAAATACTTGATCACCATTGTATTATTAAATTTACGGAAACTACGTAATACTGCATTCACCAATAAAAGATTTTAACAAATTCAACTCTTCTGGTTTCAATAAAAACCATTTTCTGCATGGAGAAACGTGCAAGAAATTGTGGTCACACGATAAACAAATATTGCAGCAATAGACAATTCCAAATATGTGTAAAACTGTAAAACCTTATAGAGTATTTCTGGACATTAACTTTTAGTAGGACGCTTGACCTGGTTTAGGTACAATTAATTTTATGAGGACATTCAGTTAGCGATTTCGTTTATACTCTTAAACCCAATTTATCATCTTGGATACAATAAATGGCGCTGTTATAGCTCCAATATATAGTAGGTACTTCAGACTTACTTATACTTCAGACAGTAACAGGGAACTACTTTTACAATGTGTTGTAGTATTTAAAAATAAATATTGTAAATTTGTGTTATTTTTATTTTTATTTATGGGCATGTAAATATTTCATTTGAAGCAATAAAATAATTGATTGTGAATCAGCTGGTGTTTGTATTTAATGTATTTTGGTAGGTATAGTGTTTTATTATTGAAAAATGGCTAATTTAAGTATGATAGCCACCAACATTGTTTTAAAAATTCAAGTACAAAAATGCTTTTGTTCCTTTGTTTATTAAGCTACTTTTCACAATTGGACCATTTTGATCAGGTTTTGCTGCAGTGTGACGAAAAAGTATGTATATGAAAAACCCTTTATTTTCATAATACTTTTAGCTTCCCCCGGGCTTCAAATCGAGACGAAAACGCACAAGTAGTTCTTTAAAATTTCTGTAAGAACAAACTACGGAACCACCATTGATTATATAATCTCAATTTTACCTCAAACATAAAAAAAAATTGAATAGCTTGAATTGAAATTCAACTGTCAGTCCAAGAAAAATGTAATTAACGTGAAAATAAACAGAAAATTATTGACGTTCTTTAAGTTACCACGGAGATCAATAAATATTTAACCTTTAAAGGTCCATCGGTTGAATTTGTGTAATGCCTGGAAAAAACTGGAAGTCATATAATCAAATTAGCAATAACTTATAACATTTTAGCATGCTTAAGTACCTACATTTTCGTGAATTTTCTGTTTGATAATAGTTTTGTGATGGAAAGGTAGACGGGAGGATAATAATGATTATCATTTCTTAAAATCTTTCATATAAACAAGTAATCACATTGTAATTTATATTTCAAACATCAGAATAACCATTTAACAAACATATGGTTATGAAAATAAACAATAGTATGCTCAGTAAACAAAATCGTTTACTTTTTAAAGATGTAGGACTTTGTCTACCAATAATTGTTTATGTTCAACTTTCGATTGAGAAGTTTGGTTTGTTGAGTTAGTAAAGCAAATCTATGAATAATCGAGATTTCAACTTCGGCTCTCCAAAATGTATAAGGAACTTAGTTTGCAAATCATTACTCGACTAATAAGCTTGAATAATAACTAAGCAGTTTAACCTTACTGTGATTAATAAGTGAATATAAAATTAAGTGAAATACCTTTTGCAGCTTCCTTTGTTACTAAAAATCAGCTGTTTTTCATAGCTATTTATTCATTAATTCATTCATGTGTTTGTTTTAATCTAACTCTTCTTTGATGTTCTCAAATAACTATTTAGTAATCAAGTAAAAAGTATACATTTTCAATACTCAATTAGAGGCCTATTAGATTACGTTCTCATGAGCAAACCTGACTACATCTGGTCCGTAAAGATAGGATGAGTAATCCAGTATCCAAAGCCAATGGATTAAGCTTGTTTACATCAAAAACGAAGATTAACTTTGATTTCTCATTTATTTTGTTTCGCAAAACCGCAGATCTCTCTACAGATAAAACCAAAATCACGTTTATGTAGTACTAAAAAAATACCTCTTACAGCCAATGTTATTTCTTTAGTTTGTATTTCGTTCCGTTTAATGTATTGTAATATCCAAGAAATTGTATGGTTTTAGTTTTGCATTTTGAATACCGTACCACTCTTAGAATAAATCTGTTGTGGGCTCAAAGTGTTAATAGGTTGTATTGGTGCTTTCTTAGAGAATAGAAAGCAAGAATATAAACATTACTAATTATTCATTTATTCATTGAATAGGCTACATTGAACTTAGTACATACATTGAACTTTGTTTGTAATACAAATTAAAATTGTATTCATACGTTATCCAAAAAATAATAAAAAATTAAAATACCGCGCAAAACATTATGTATGACAGATATTGACGAACTGATTATTTTTTAGCGAAGCTCTTATACTACAATCCTGCTTTTATTTTACAAATACTCCTCCTGAACGGCTGAAGCGATGTGCACAAAAATTAGCACAATCATAGTAACCAACCATGGGAAGGTATAAATCTGAAATGGTACAAATCGGACCACAGGACATTTCCCTACGTGAATTTAAGCTTTTGGAAATTTAACATGGGCCTTATGGGTTAATTGGTTGCCATGACATTATTTGCGAAATAATAAAAAGGTAAACAAAAGTCGCAACATATGTTAGTCAACGAATAATCTAAATAGTACATTACAAATACCGTACAGAGGAAGGGAAAGAACAATCGGATTAATATCATTGAGCATAATTTACTACAAAATGAATAACCAATAATTATGGTCGCCGGAATAAGGATGAAGCACCATTGACTTTAATCCAAATAGCCATTCAATTTACGTGAACCGAATATAGGCCTACCATTGAGTTTGGATACTGCAAGTAGACTCCATTTATACTAGACCATTCAATAATGCATGCTTTGAATAGATACTACAATTAGGAATTCCATTAATGTGAACCAGACGTACCATTGACTGTGAATACTGAAAATAGTAATTCAATTGATATGAACCAAATATACCATTGACTTTGGATACTGCAAGTATATAATCTCATTTACGAGGGACAGATGTACCATTGACTTTAGAAAAGTATTGGATTAATATGCTAGCTCCGCTCAATAATGCAAGCAGACAACTGCATTGTACACCTAGTAATAAATAATTTTTGTATGTTTGAACTGCTTATAAAATTCGTTTAGAGTTGAGTTAGATTAATGTATTTTTCAACATTTCAAGACTCAATGGCTGTACAAACTCTGAACTGTCAAAGTTGTATTTTCCATTAGTTTTCGATTCATTCCTTTCCTCCTTGCAAAAAATATTTTTTAATAATTATTCAATAAAAATTGTGTACTAGAGTTTTTGTTTGAAATACTAATAGTTGGTAGACAAATTTGTATGGATATGTAGAATAATAAGGGTTTAGTTGGGGCTGAATAATAAAACAAAGTTATATTTATAAGATTTGTACGGTTTGGAAAGCATCAATATTTTGTAAATATGATTTTTAACAGGTTTTGTGAAAATTTGCGTTTTAAAATTCATCACCTTAAAACCTAAATAATTCTAGGAAAGTTTTGATTAATGAGGTGCCTGTCAATAGCTGGTTTGTCACTTACTATTTATTATTTCTTGATTAGTTGGGTTAAAATTAAACCCAGATTAACTATTTTGACTATGAATTTAAATTGTATCCAAATTATAAAGATATAAAAACATGTCACAATGTTTCTTATGATTATCTACCTTTGCGTCTGAATAAAATTATTACAAATTTACCTTTACGTGAAAACATCAATACAAATTTGTAATTGATATTGTAAATTTAACAAAAAAATATAAGTTAACACACAACAAAATTAAAAATTGTTATTTTATGAAACTTCAACGACTCAGACATGCACTTAAAAAACTACAAATAATATATTTAGTACGTATATAATATGTTCCTAACGTACTTTATACATATTTAACACATTTCAACATGCATCCCCTTTTACAGCTGATTAATATGTAATATTTCAATATTTAATATGCATACAGATTTTATTCAACAACAATTAACATTAGCACTTTAAATAATTACAATTATATGTAAATAATATGTAAATACCTGATGGATAGTATCCATACACTCGGGTCTGCTGAAGGAAGGGGAGTTGACTCACGAAAGCCGTGATTCGAACTGACACCGAGCGGCGGGAGATGAAGGAACCCCCCCCCCCCACCAATAATTGTGGGGGGTAATGGTGGTGGGGGGGATCGTGTTATCAGCACAGTAGTGAGTTATCAAACCGACCAAAGTGGTCGACGAAAGACGTGTCGAATAGCGATTGGGAAAACAGTTTATATAAAATTACTTAAAAATACCCCCGCTGCAGCAAGCCTACAGACTACGTGAATTTCCATTTGTCTAGCTGGGCTTCTACTCAAATATTCCCTTAAAATTGTCAGATTTTCTTATTATATTAACATTAGTTTTAATGAGTGTACCTTGGTTTGCTGCTGCAGGGAGGGTATTGAGATGTGTTTTATTGAAATGTTAATAGTTTATAAGAAAATAAACAAAATTGCCAAATTTGATTAAAATATTTTCATAGACATGCAAACTACAACAGTTTATGTATTCTTCATAAGCATAACATAGGAATTTTAAATTTGCAATGTTTTTAAAGTATATCTATAACCGTTACGCATATAATTACGCTTCAATACACTATTTTTTTAAGCTCTACAGAATGGTTTTACCAAAGATATTGACTTTATAAAGATTTTAGTCATGCAAAAGAACCATTTTGGCAAAATAAGTTCAAATTAGTACCAATTCTTTTCCTAATAGCTTTAAGCAAAACACTTAAGATTTTAATTTAAAATACACCCTATTTTCCAAATATTTTGAATGCACTAAAAAGCAGGTGAATTAAAATATCAATTAACCGATTACACATTTTGCTATTTGATTCAAAGAGTTATGTTAGATTTTTAAATTTAAAATAAATAAAATCTTCATAAAGAAAATGTTAACGCATATATTTAATAAAAGCTTTCATAAAACGTATATTTTTTCACAAACTTACATATTCTAATGTATAGAAAAGTATCTTAAACGAATCGTTGTAGGATTTGAAATAGTTTAGTTTAAAACTGCTATAAATCTTTAACTTTCAAATAATTGTTTTAAATTAAATCTTGATAGGTAGATTTGCATTGTTTTTTTTTATTTATTAAATGAGTTAATTGATAATTTAATTTAAACTATAACTAAAAAAAACTTGTTTAACAACTTCAATTTTATGTTTCATTACAAAATAACTGCAACATATTAAATTATATATTTATATATTTACAACATATTTATATATCTGATTATATATAAAACACTGATGCAGTCGATCAGTGCAGTAGAACCCTGACGCAAAGTAATTTTTCTACGTCGACTTTGGTAAATGTGGAAATGTCTGTCTGACTCAGCTTCTCTCACTTGTCAATTGTCACTCTCTCGGGATAAAAGTTTATCTCTTGACCACGACTGATTTATATGTATTATAACTGCAAAAATAAATAAATAATTTGACAATAATTATTTAAATGAAATTAAAAATTTATAAATGTGTTTAAAATATATCCCCTTTTCCTTCGCATCAAAGTATGACAGCGAAAAGTATTTTGTCTCTTGGATAAATTGTAAAAATATAATGTATCTTTACTGGTAGTACCGGTATTAATTATTTAAATTATTTATTGAAATTCCACTGGTTTATAACTGGTTAAAGAACATATCCTACTAATCCTACTAATATCATAAATGAGAAAGTTTGGATGTATGGATGTATGTTTGTGACAAGTAAACGCGAAAAATACTGGTCGGATTGGGCTGAAATTTGGTATGATGATAGCTCACATTCCCGATTAACATATAGACACATTCATATCTTAAAAGTCCTTTCGGGCTCCGCCCCAGTGGCTCTGGAGTTTCCCATGTTAACCTTATGAGTAATCGTATTTAAAAGGAATAAAAGAATTTTGTCAGCTGTTTCAACTACACAAGTTGGTTCTATGATATTGAATAGCATTAAAAAGTTACAAGGTTTACCAACAGGGTGCAGTACTATTATTTTTCTACATTTATGACAACAGCTCCTATTAAGGCCATAAAGGTAAAATTTTGTTTTTAAAAGGCTTATGTGTAACTATCAACAGATGTAAAGATCAAAATGTTTCTATTTCGTGTTCTCTTCCCGTTGCAAAGCACGGGTACAACAGCTAGATGTATATATAAATAGTAAATATGTTATGGGGTATGTAGTTTTAGTGCTCGCTTAACCTGGTTAGACAATAGCCTAACCAAACCTAACATGAAAAATCAAGAATTAATTTGTCAGAGAACACATAACAGTAAGACCTTGCCTTACTTAAAACTAATACACCGATAATAGTTTCACATATAAAAAACATTTAGAAATATTCTTTAAGACTATAACATAAACTGAAACCTAACCCAACCCAATCTAACCTAACCTTACCTAACATAACCCACTCTAAACCCAACTTAACCTAACCTAACCCAACATAACCCACTCTAAACCCAATCTAACCTAACCTAACCTAACATAACCCACTCTAACCCCGATCTAACCTAACCTTACCTAACATAACCCACTCTAACCCCAATCTAACCTAACCTAACCTAACATAACCCACTCTAACCCCAATCTAACCTAACATAGCCTAATCAGTCACAATTTCAATCCAAAAACGTCAACATATTTTCACTAAATAAAATTTAAAAAACTTAGAAGATAAAAAATATTTTTGTTTATTATTCGTTGATTAATATTCTAAATTTGTCTTAGTTCAACAAAAATTGTTTTGAAGTCGGATCTCCTACGTACACTTTGTCTTAAAAACCAATAAAATCTATGTTTGACTGGATAAGTGTAAAAAACAAGACATATAACGTGACAATTCTAAATATTGATTGTTGGACGATCTGGTCATGTGTGTGTGTAAATACGTGTATTTGTGCGTGGGTGTGGGGAGAGATATCAAAACTGTTTACAGCGTTTAAAACTGGGTCGAGAAACCCGGTTAAAATGCTGATGTCGGTGTCAAATATAAATTTCGTATAGCGGACTTATTATGAATGTGATAAATTATAATACAAGGAGACCGAACTTTGCTATGATAGAATCAAACATTAAATTCATTAGATAAATTATTTAGCTAAATTAAAGATATATAAAATGTACATAAATGTGAACACATTTAGATGATACAAAGACAAATTTTAATACACAGATTGCAATAAAAATAACCTGTATCAGCTGTTTTCATTAACTGCAGCTACAAAAAGGTATTGCCGATAACATGGGCACTTTCAAGGGCTGTAGGGTGGAAACTGGATTTTCCCAGCCTTGTGACCAACTCCAACCGATTTATAGTGACCAAATACTCCATATTAAGATTTAAAAAAATTAAAAATCCTCGGACGAAAGAACAATTTTTACACGCGCTTGTTTTAGAATATTGTAGAATTGTATACTGGACTATAATTATGTGGGTTGTATGATGATTGCATATTTTTTTGTTGTGTTGTTTTTACTAAATTTTAACCTTTTATTCAATTCATCTAAAATTTTATTTTTCTACTTGGTAAATCTGTCTTCATAATGTGTGGAAACTTTAATGCAAGTATTTATAATTTTTGTTACAGCCTGGTTAACAAAATACAATTATTTTAAACATCGGGTTGATAGAAAAGCGTAGGGTTGAAAAAAAATGGAATGAGATTACGAAACATCAAAATGGGTAATGAAAACTACACAATGGATCTTAAAAATATGTACCTAAAATCGGCGTTGTGGCAAAAGGTAAAGTAGCTTATCAGAATTGAAGTACAGTTAGGTGATTGAAAAGCGATAGGAATTAAATTAAACGGGTAAAAGGAGGTAAAGTAAAGTAGACTGAAACTAAACTAATGGAATTGATCAAGTGTAAAACGGTTGAAATGAATTAATTAAAAGAATAAAAAGGGATTTATGAAACGGGTGGAATCTGTACGTATTGTATTTATCACGAATGAAACGAATGAAATAAATATTTTTTAATCCATACATTTCCATTGAGCCCTCTTGCAGGAACCTTCATTAAATACACAAGTAATGGTTCGTTTCAACGATGGAAAAATCATGTAATCGTTTCCCATAATTGATCCCCTAGCGAGCCGAAATGTTAGTTGTAACATTTGATGTAAAAATTACAATTTGTGGATAGTCATAATTTTCATGACGTCGACGATGGGAAAGGTAATCATTTAATTTTCAAGTCAACTTCTAACCAATTTTCTGGATAAAAATGAACTAAGTTGAATTCATATCTGTTGTGAACACTAATTTGATTCAACTCAAATTGAAAAGAGAAAAGAACAAGAAAGGATTTTAATTGCATCTGTTACTGTCCACCAACAATCAATGTATCATTTTAACTCTAACTAACTCTGTGAAAAGCTCAATAACCTATGTTATATCTCAATAAAATTGTTGTAGTTGGTCTATTTAGAAGTATTTACTGGTATTTATAGATCAATGAACCAAACAGATATTAAAATGAAGTAGAATAAAATAAAAGTGCTTTTACTAAAGAAAAGTAAACTGTATACACACCCCACAGATGAGAACAAAACGTATTCTTCTAGTGTAAATGAAAACTAAGAAAAAAATCACTCAAATTTGACAACAATTAATTTCAGACAAATATGTTCAAACAAAGTTTTATTCTTGATACGACCAAAATTGACTAAACTTTTTACTAAGGCAGATACAATCATATATTCAATAAAAATGTATATATGACACAACTAAAACAATGCAACACAACACTATTTTTTTATGAACGACGTTTAAAATTTTACAAGTTTCTTACATGAAAGAAAATAAATATTGGAAACTTTAAATGCCCTGTGACCTAACGAATTTGGTGTTTAGTTTTTCTTTATAATAATCCTAAAACAAATCCTTAAGCAATAATAAATACACTAAACATACGATACGAATATATTGGTTGATTTGCCAATTGATCATTCAATAGGTGCTTGTATTTGTGTTTGTATAGCACCCAAGTCAATACAAGGGTGCTACTACGTTTGTTTGGGTTCAATACACAATTCAATCCTCGACCAAGCAGCTGTGGTTGCTATAG